AAAGATAATACCTTGCACCATACAAGGAATTCCCGAAATTACTTTCCTTCTTTTCCCTTTTCAAAGCAATACCACTTTCAGGGAAAAAGTTTACATAATTGTTTCAACCAAAAAAAAAAAAGTTTACATTATACTTTCAGACCTCAATTAAAGATGGGGCATATGAATGGTTCCATCAAAACTAAACCAAACCTACGTGTTGACATCAAAGCACATAACATTTTGGTTTCAGACATGTTATTTGGTTTGATAATGTTTTAATTTAAACTTTTAAACTCTCACAAAATATAAAAATTTGACCTAAATCCCAATCCCTATGTTATTTTGTACAATTTTGTACATAGACGTTTAAGCTAAAATAATACATGTATATTTAATTTAGACCCAAATTAACCACTCTTGTGATAATAATACTCATCCCTTAATTGTGTTCTTCTCTCCTGCCAAACCAGCCCATTCACTAGACCCCACTTCATCCTTTCTGAGTTTCTGCATCCATCTCCTGACCTTTTTCTCAAGATGCAAGATTCAGCCCACAACAAATACCTTCAAGTCCAATGCTATTCCCTAACTTGGGCCCGTATCTGTACAAGCTCGGCTTCTCAATTCATGTCCAAGTAGAATCAATCCCAAAAAAGGCGGCCCAGCTAGCCTTCCCTGACATGCTAGGCCACATAGCCCACATCCCTTTTTTCTTTCCTTAGAATAAATCACCATAACATATGGTTTGCTAATTGCTATAAATAACTTCCATAAGTTTTGAAGAATTCATTTTGAAATGAAATATTTTTGTGTTTGATATTAAAAAGAATTAATTTTCAATTATAAAATTTTAATTATACGGAATTGGAACTAGTTATAGCAATTCCGAAGAATTGAGATAGAATTTCCAAATGAATTCCACAAGTATTTACTAATTATAATAGAATGACATGATTATCCTCTTTTATTAACTAAATTACTTACACATATGACATACCAAACACATAAATTCATTTGACAATGAATTATACACGACACTTCAATGATTTGAATATAACATACCAAATATAGGATTTCATTTGACAATGAATTCTACACGGTAATTTATTTTACAATGAAATGAATTTTCGATTCATTTGGTACCAAACGGTCTGTAAGAGATGAAGTCTATCATGGATTCATGGTGCAACAGAGGTGTATCAGCAATAGAAAATAAGAATAGTACTATATGGAAAAAGGTCACTGAAAGAATGCCTGGAATGAGTGATGCTCTGCAAAGAAACCTATGTTTTCAAAATATCAACCTCCATTTTCACAATTTCATCCAACAAATTTGAGAGGCTAGCCACATCAGACCGCTCACTCGGATTCTCCCTGAGAGCAGCCTCAGCAACATCTGCAAGTTTAAGCAGAGGCTGCACATTCTCCGGCAGAGCCACATTCTTATCTATAATGGCAACCGAATTCCCTGATCTGATCAAAGGCACCGCCCACTCCACAATCCCAGGAGGACTGCAATCTTTATCATACGCCTTCCTTCCACTTAATATCTCCAGCACAACAATTCCAAAGCTGTACACGTCGCCCTTTTCAGACGATTTCGGATTCTCGCTGCCATTCGAGAGTCCGAAGTCTCCGATCCTCGGCCTCCAATCGGAATCTAACAGCACTTTCGACGTTCTCAAGTTTCCATGGACTATACTAATGGCAGCAGGCGTGACGTCGTTGTTGCCATTGTGCATGTATTGAAGGCCGCGTGCCACCTGTAGGGCGATTCTAAGTCTCAAGTTCCAATCCAGCAATGGAGAGAGCTCTCCGTGGAGATGGTTATGGAGCGTCCCATGTGGAATGTACTCGTAAACTAGTAGCCTCTCCCCCATCTCAGTACAGTAACCCAATAGGTTCACTATGTTCCTGTGTCTCAACCTGCACAGGATTTCGAGTTCTGATTCGAATTGTCGGTTGTTTGTGTGGATTATGGTCGCGGCGTTTGCTCTTTTCACCACCACTTGCCTTCCATCTGACAGCACAGCCTTGTACACAAACCCAAAGCTTCCCCTGCCCAGCTCGTTGAACTCCTTGAAACCATGGGTGGCATCTTTGAGATCCGAAAGCCGGAACACTTGAGCCTTTCCAACGTACCAGCTCTTAGAAGGAATGGGTTCTGGATCTTGGTCAGGGTCAGGGTCAGGATCGGCCTCTACTGCTACTGGCTTACATATGCAGAACTGCTGCCAGTAGCTTCTCTTCTTCTTTCCATCCCTAGTAGCTCTCCTGACCTGGAAAATGACACAACACGAACTGACAAGCAACAAGCAAGCCAACAATGACATGCCAATGATGAGAACGAGTTTCTTCTTCTTCTTCTTCTTCTTCTGTTTTTGCTCATGCTGTGGAGTCTCGTTTGCCGTTCTTAGAAGTCCACAGGTGTCCCAGCAAGAACTGTTACGGCAGAGCGAGCAACTGGTGCATGTCCTGCCAGCATTCTCTGTACACTGTGTCGAAAGAAAATAGCCATGTGAACAACTTGTGCCGCAAGGTAGGCAGATCTTGAGGTCTTTTCTTGCACAGATGTTGGTCCATTTTGACACGTCGAGAATGCTTGGGTCGAAAGAAAACATTCCATCAGGGCATGATGATGATGTCGCCTGGGAGCATGTCCCTGGACTGCACAGCTGCGCAGGTGGCTTGTAATCTGTAGGAGACTTCCCATACACTACACTCCAGCAGCCGACTACCAAATCGACTTCTCGTATTCCACAGGCGGTGTAATCTGAAGAAGCAATGGCTGTGAACCCAGACCCCATTGGAGCCGAACTTGGATCAACGTCGTACCCCCAACATTGAACTTCATGATTGTCCTCACGAACCCCGCAAAAGTAATCCGCACCAGCTGTTAAGCCCACAAATCTATCTCCTCCCATGGGCAGGGAATTAACTTGACTAGCATCAGAACCCCAGCAATGAACTTCTCTTGAAGCACTGGATATCCCACACACAGAGCTTCTTCCTGAGGCCAAAATCTCATAATCACCTGACATAGCTGGAACGTCCATTTCTGCTGATCTGGGTCCCCAACAAATCACCCCATTTTGCTCAACCACCCCGCAACTAAATCCATCCCCGGCGACTATGTTCTTGAACGCATGGCTATCCACATACGGACTAGAGAATGAGGTGGTCGTTTGATTGAACTCCCAACAATCAATTCGACCGTAGTCCTCAATCCCAACAGAATAATAAGTCCCTCTGATCCCACAAGCATGATTCTTGCCTGCAGCAATCTGGGAATATGAGTTGTCCTGGAAACTGGGCGGGACAAGATTAGTACCTGGATCCGACTTCTTAAAGCAGAATGGCTGGGAAGTGTTCGACGTAATGCCGCAGAGAAACTCCTCGCCGCCGGAGAGTGAAGCCATGGGAGGCAGGGGAGCCAAGTAAGCGGCTGACGATGAGGCGGTAAAGTTTTCATATTTATCCCAACATACGACCTCTTGCTTCCCTGCAACATCAATGGCGCAGAAGAACCCATCACCGCCAAATGCAGCTGCAACCGGGCCGAAAGATCCGTACCCGGAAGCAGTGGTCGACAACCTCAAGATCGAAACAAGAGCAGCAACAACCATAGGTAGTGATCCATAGAGACACCTCCTGATTCCCTTCTCCATTACTGATAGTTCAGAATGTTTGAAAAGAAACAATGGAATTTGTGGCATTGCTCTTCGCAAGTTACGATTGAGATTTGCTGTTGGGTTCTGCTTTTCTTTCATCCTGCGTTGATTTTGTGAGGGATATGGGAAGATGAAGCAAAGAACCAGGCTGTAGGATCGGAAGCTGGCACCGCCGGCTCCAATGTAGGGTTCTCCATCGCACAGGTCTGGCTTTCCCCGATTTTAGTGTGTTCGGTGTGATCTCCTGTCGTTTATTTTGCGTCTCTGGTGAGGCAAACTGCAAGCGACTTGCAACTGCCAAATGGGGTGCTGAATTCATAGAAGCTGCCCAAAGCCACTATTGAAGCTACATAATTGTCTTTGTCATTTAACAAGTAACCAACAAAATCGTCAGAATTTGACTGACAAGAGATACCGTCCAAAAAATTCAATCTCGTGAGGTAGACAAATTTTCTTATAATTGAATTGGGTTACGATTATTCTAATAATGTATTTGAAGCAATTGCAAAGCACAATTTCAATTCAGTTAAACGTAATGTGTGAGGGTTTAGTTTTCGAATAAAAACTAATCATTGTGCGGGAGTTTGTATCAAAACTATCAATAATATGAAACTTAGGAAATTAGGTTCATTTGCTGAGGATATTGGCCACAAAATTACCCTCACAAAATATACATGTTGGAGATGCACCTTCTTTCATCATTGAGAAGCGGCTGGATCATTGCCACAGCCCACAAGCATCTAACTAGTACATAATTGCTGTTTGGGTGATAAGATGGAAATCTGAATGGAAGTGATTGTTTTGTTATAAGCATTTTTGTAAAATCATACAAAAATTTGTACTAGACAAGCAAGCTAAATGATACTTTATTGGTATAATCGTGGATTTATAGAGAGCATATCAATGCAATATCTTAGTTAAATAAACTAAATTATGAAAAAGGGTTAAATAAAATAAAACAATATATTAAAGTAGCACTATACCAGTGAATGTCGTCAAGTGTGGCCCGTATTACCAATATTTTTTCAATTTAACTACATAAAACCATCTGACATAACATTTCTTAAATATTTGTATACCATAGCTACTTAAATATCAACCGACAATTTTTATTGTTAAACAAGCGGTACATATGGTTTTAGTAAACACCATTTGTTATAAGTTTTTTTTGGTGAAACTATTTGCGATAAGTTTGAAAGTTGAAACAAGAGCAATTATTTCATGCAAAATAAAAGTTAGATGACATTTTGGTCAAATAGAGAAGTTAAGTGATTGGTTTTGATAATTACCCGTGAAATTGTTTGGACTCAACAAAGCATTCCTCCAAGTTCATGAATTCCCAATCTTCACCGTCAAATAAATCCGCTTTCCGCCAGCGTGGTTCGCTCCTCGCCACAGCTACAAACCGAGAAAACAAACGAAGGTAACGGAAGCAAAAACCACCACACTTCTACAGCTCCACATGTCTCCATTTCATTCCTACTCACTGTCACTTCCATTCTCCTCTTCTTCATCTCCACTGTAAATTCATCAATCGTACCCCAAAACCTCTCTTCTGAGTCCAACACGCCGCCATTCAATGGCGGCGGCAGTTTCTGCCGTGGTCGCATCGTCGTTTTCGGCCACTCCGACGGCTGTCCTCGGAAGCAGGAAGCAGCTTCGAACGGCGACGCAGAGCGGGAAGCCTCCGCGAAAAGTGTGGGCTGTAGGGGATTTCAGTCACTTCGGGGAAGTGGTTTCGAAGGATTTTGAGTTCTTAAAGAAAGGAATCGGGAAGGGAATTGACTGGGCGAATGAGGTGTTTCGTATTCCGCAAGTGACCAGGGCGGTAGATGATGTTGTGTGGATGCGGAATCTCGAGGATCCTGCAGCCGCGAATCTGGAGAAGCAAACTTGGCCTCAGCCTTATTATCCAGGTCAGGCTCTTACCGACACTTCCAAACTCAGCTGTATCTATCAATGCCGTGAACGGATTCTTCAATTGCATTAGCTGCTCGTAAATTGAAGCTTTGTCATTGATAAATTGCACATATAGAACTTCTGCTCAACTGAACTGCATATATGGGTTGTGAATGACTGTAGGATTTCGAATTCACTCAATTCTGAAATCTCATTCCAGGACTGACTGGCGTTGACTTACTGATGGCTGACCTCCAAGCCATGGTAACCTATGCCAGTTACTTCTACTACTTGTCCAAGATTTGGTCCAAACCACTTCCTGAAGTCTATGACCCGGAAGCTGTTGCCGACTACTTCAATTGCAGGCCTCATGTGGTAGCATTTCGGCTTCTCGAGGTATGCACCGGAACTATCAGTCAGTATCTGTCGTCAATGTGACAACTAGTTCAATAATTCTCCCAGCTGTTGATTGAATGGTGTGCTGTTTCATGCTTTCAGGTCTTCTCCGCCTTTGCTTCTGCAAGTCTCCGAGTACGAGCTTCGCGGATTAGAAAGTTTATAGGGTCAAGTTCAGATAGTGATTTCGACATGAATGGAAACACTTCGCAGTACAATTTTGGATTGCTCTTGAAAGAATCAATGCTTAACTTGGGTCCCACTTTTATAAAAGGTCTGCATTTTCTTTTGCTTAATTTAGAATTTGAAAAATGTAAGAGTTCCATTTCTACTTTGCCTAATTGTGCTTTGGTGCTATTTTCTGGTTAGCTTAATTCTTTCTCTATGTAGCTTTTTGAAACTGTGTGCTGCCTGGGTCTCTGGCTCCTCCTGCAATCACTTGATTGTTCAATAAGCTAGTTAATAGCTATATGTCTTTGCTTGCTGATGCAGTTGGCCAGTCTCTTTCCACGAGGCCAGACATAATTGGCACCGAGATTTCCAAGGTTTGGTTAAGTAATACTTCTTTTTACTATATTGGTATATCTCTGGTCTTTTATGGCGTATTCTTATGTAGTGCTAGACTGCCCCGTTAGATAACTGAACCGTGGAGACTCCTCTATGTGCATTAACATCATAATCACTCCATGAAGAATGGTTCATTTTGAGCGTCACATGATCTACAAGTTTGATGTAATTCTATTACAGGCTCTTTCTGGGTTGCATGATCAAATACCTCCCTTCCCTAGGACAATGGCCATGAAAATCATTGAGCAGGAGCTAGGAGCTCCTATTCAGTCGTCTTTTACCTACCTATCCGAGGAACCTGTCGCTGCAGCATCTTTTGGTCAGGTGGTTGCTTTATAAAATAAGATGTTTTGCTTTATAAAATAAGATGTCGCTGTTGAGAAACTTCTTTGGTTCCAAGCATAAAATTGTTAAAAAGTATATATGAACTTCTTGTTTTTCCATTGGAATATGCGCCTTATCTTATGTGTCTGCTTGTTAGGTTTATCGGGGAAAGACTATTGATGGTCGTGATGTAGCTGTGAAGGTTCAACGTCCTAATCTCCGCCATGTGGTAGTTCGAGACATCTACATACTTCGGATTGGGGTTTGTATTTGTTATCTCATGAAGTTTCCTCTTCTTTCTCTGTTTTTATCTTGATAGTCACTTAGATTTGCCAACAATATTATCAGTTGGGACTGTTGCAAAAGATTACGAACAGAATAAGCCACCTTCCTCTCTATGCTGATGAATTTGGAAAGGGCCTGGTTGGCGAGTTAGATTACTCTATTGAAGCTGAGAATGCATCCAAGTACCTGGTATGTATCTTTTGATCTTTAACCGTATGATATTTTTGGTAATTTACCCTTAAAAAACATTTTATGTTGAATTCATGAAAAGAATACCCAAACCATCAAATCTTCTACTAAGTGACTTTCCAGTATTCCTATTGGGAGGTTTTTGTTTCTAGACCAATCTGTGAGGAGGTGAAGTTGTACCCGAACCATATTCCTCCTAGATAGTTGCGCCTCAACAGAATCATTTTTCTTGGGCTATCTATGAATCCATTACAAGTTCACTTGTTGGATTAGTAGTGACTTGCTCCCATATGTTCAGTTAAGTATTTAGTAGCATGACTAGAGCCACAGAAATATTGGATAGGATGTTGAAAAACTATGAGAAACTCTCAGAAATAGTTGAAAATTGGGATTCAAATTGATTGTGTTTGGATGGATTGTATACTACAGTGATTAAGGTTGTTTGCTTTTAAGAACAGCTGATGATGCTATTGATTAGGCTTAAAACTGTGCATGTTGTATTAGTGCATCAGAAGCTTTGCTATTCAAGTTATACGATAAGAAACTTTTCATAGTTATAGACCTGGGGAACTTTTTGAATTACAGTTTCATGAGCTATCAAATTTTGGAGGCTGTTAAGCTGCTGAAACATAGCCTGATGCTTTTGTCTCTCATTTAACGTTCATTTTGCAGGAAGCTCATTCTTCTTTCACTTTTATCCACATTCCGAAGGTTTACCGAGATTTAAGCCGGAAAAGAGTTCTGACGATGGAGTGGGTAGTCGGTGAAAGTCCAACTGATTTACTCTCTGTAGCTACTTCCAATGCTAATCACGAAGTTTCAGAAACAGAGAGAATTGAAGCAAATAGGAAGTTACTTGATCTGGTATATTTAACTATATTCTCTTCTTCATGTGAACTAATTTTTGTGGTTCTTTATCTACCACTACCTTTTATGTATCGAAATGAAATCTCGCTGAATTGTCTCAGACCTTCAATGCTCTCTTATTATAATGCCAACTATGCATTGTTCTGTGGAATTTTCAGGTTAGCAAAGGTGTGGAAGCATGTTTAGTTCAGCTCCTTGAAACAGGTTTACTGCATGCAGACCCACATCCAGGAAACTTGCGATACATTTCATCAGGACAAATAGGGTATACCATTTTCTTTTTGATGTCTTAACTAAAGTTGATTATTTGACTACTGAGATTTTTGCCATCTGTTGCAGGCTTGATCTTTATTTCTCGATGTGAATTGCAACTATTCTACTGTCTTGTTCTGGAAATAAGAATAGACTCTAATCAGCCATTTGTGGCTTCATTTTTAACTCCTGTTTTCCCCCGATGACAGCTCCTATTTTTTGTCCTTTTGCGGCTCCAGGTTTTTGGATTTTGGTTTAATTTGCCAAATGGAGAAGAAGCATCAGTATGCCATGCTGGCATCAATAGTAGACATTGTAAATGGGGATTGGGGGTCCCTGGTACGTTCTCTTATGGACATGGATGTTGTTAGGCCAGGAACTAATGTCCGGCGTGTTACAATGGTACGGTATGCCTTTCTGTCTGTTACAAATTTTTGTCTTCTGCATTTACTCATTTCTTTGTATTAAAATTTCCATATTTATGTGTGAACTTGTATATTCATTTGCTGTTAATTAGTGCCGGACTCCAAATTTGAAGTTCAATCCAAATTATGTTTGCACGAAGCTCAAAACTTCTTACCACTCGGCAATAATTGTTCTATGAAATACTCAGGAACTGGAAGGTGCTTTAGGAGAGGTGGAATTCAGAGATGGAATTCCTGATGTCAAGTTCAGTCGAGTAAGTACTATAATGGCCGGAATAAGTATTGTACATATAAGTGTCTCTTCTATGCCCTTTAATCAGCAATTCATACAAGAAAGAATATGAGCCACATATTCAGCTGGCAGATCAAGTCTTTGGCTGATTTGATCTTGTGACCGTTTTGACCTTCAGTATTCTTAATTTTGTTCTATTGAAATAACACTATATTGATATGCTAATTCTGTAGGTTCTTGGCAAAATATGGTCTGTTGCCCTCAAGTATAATTTCCGGATGCCTCCATACTATACCCTTGTTTTACGTTCTCTTGCATCTCTGGAGGGTAAGTGTCCCTACCAAATTGTATTTACATTCTTGCTACATTTTGTTCCCTTTGTTTTCTACATTATTTGTTGGAGTTTTGATATAATAACGACTTGCTATTTCTCCATCCATCTGCAATGAAAGATTGAAAGGCCAGAAAAAGGTTTTTTCTTCAGTTTAGAAGCAATGACCAAACTGATTAGTAAAAGCAAACTCAGGAAGCTTTTTGCCCAGGCTGAGTGCAGTTACATTGCAATTGTTAAGACTTAAGAATGATTCCGTCATGAATAGTTTTAAGTCTATCTATGTCCGCAATGTATTTTATCTGCAACTCTTTAGGGCCAGTTTGCTTCTTTACTACATAATATGTCATTTTCTTATGCTGGATCTTGTTGATTCTTCATACAAAACTGTGATTTTGAACTGTACTTTAACTAACTAGTAAGTGGGATTTGCCTTCATCTTGATTCTGTCATGGTCTCCTAGGTTTGGCCTTAGCTGCAGATCCAAACTTCAAGACATTTGAAGCTGCATATCCCTATGTTGTCCGGAAACTACTAACTGAAAATTCAGCTGACGCCAGGAGGATTTTGCATTCGGTAACTATTCTCTGCTATTTGATTTTAGTTGTCTCAAATCACAAGAAGGCAGAAGTTTAATCAGACTTTCTGGGCTACCTGACCGATGTTCAGTGGTTTGTGTGAAATTATTGAATCCCCATTAGATGGTAAGCTGTTCATTTATGTTCATTCTCAGGCGATTTTAAACAAGAGGAAGGAGTTTCGTTGGGAGAGACTTAATCTTTTCCTCAGAGTAGCATCAACTAGGTATATCAATATCCCTTGTCATTCAATCTGGCTGTAGCATCAACTAGAAATATGAAGGATTGGCCTGAACAATACTTCCATTTTAGCGACTGAATAGAGGTGCAGGATACAATTCATTTGTTTCGCATCATCATTCATGTTGTGTCCTCTGTTTTACTGCAAATACATGGAAATATAAGAAACATGATTGTACTATATTCAATTATTTCTTTTGCATATTATTTCACAAACTAAGCTGCACTCTTTACATATTCTTAGTTAAATGATATCTCCTGCTTACTCCTTTTCGTTTTCCCTCTGCTCCAGTATCAAGTTATAACTTCTTCAGAACCACGAAACGACAGTGATGTATCTATTCATTACCTTTTCTATATTTTGCATGACCCATACTAGTAGGAGATGCCCATTTTTTGTGTACTTGTACCATTTATTAAACTACCTATTCGATCAATCCTTGTCTGATTTCTCCCCAGGAAAACCTTGAACCGGATGATAGCATCAAAGAGCGAAAGCTCCGCTGACTATCTGCCGAGTAAGCCCAGTGGTGTTATTGAAGTGGCGCAAATGATCTTGAAACTTTTACCTTCAAAAGATGGCATTGTGCTTAGGAGACTTTTAATGACAGCAGTAAGTGACTTCGAACTCACGTCTTCTTTCTATTAGTAGACTATCTGATATTTCAGTGCTATGATTTTTTTTTATGCAATAGAATGGTGTAGTTGACGCTGGTCTTTTGTGTTTGAAAAATAGGATGGGGCTTCGTTAATTCGAGGAATGGTTTCCAAAGAGGCAACGCCCTTAAGACAGCAACTATGCAAGGTCATCGCTGATGTTATGCACCAATGGGTTGTTCAAGCCCTTGGACAACACATTACTGCACTTAAGTATTCAAGATTGACAAGTGGGTCCAGCAAGAAGGACCTGGTGGCTTCAACTTCCAGATCATCTGTTTCAGTTGATGAATACCAAGCGATTCTCAGAGATCCACGACTAAAAGTGATCTTCCTGAGAATAATCAGCTCCACGAGGAAAGATCCAGCACTGATGCTTAAGTTCAGCTGGACCTCTTTTATCATGGCAGTCACGGCCTCAGCACGCGCCTTCCATCGGGTTTTGGTCTCTTTATCTGAAGCTTTTGTTAGCTCTCTGCCTCTTTCTCCCAAGCGGGTGGCAGTCAGTGCTTGATATTCTAGTTGGAAAGTCAGGAAATCCTCTCTAGACTCTGGAGAACGTGCTGCCTGCCTGCTTCCCTCTTCAGTGTGAAATACTTCCGAACTGAGCATCATCAAAGTTGGTAATCTTTTTCGACCAGCTGCTACTGTGGGAGCTGATTCTACCATGGCTGTCGTAGTGTTTATTTAAGTTGTCCCACTAAAGTAGTCTCGTTCATCGCTTCCAAGTTGGTTCAGTGAGGAGGCTGTGTATAATGTATGTACAGAAGAACCATAAGCCGAATAGGAAGATGTAGATAGGGTAGTCCTCCTGATATCAATCATCTTCACTATGGTAAATCAAAAAGGGGGCATCCTTGAGGTTGAAGATGAATGAAGTTGTTACTGGTGTGTATGTAACATGCCTACTCTGGTTTGAGGTCTGTTGATTACTTGATTCTATTAGGTGCAACTTGAAAGCATGCATTCTGTGAAGGGTGGGCGGTTTTACTTCATTTCTGCTGGTTTGCTGCCGCCTGCCTTGCCAGTGAAAATGAGTCAGTTATCCAAAAGTCGGTCGGTGATAAATTGCTACGGCGATTTGGCTCTCATTCCAAAAAACGTGTCCTTGGGATCCAACTCACCCGGGACGCCGTCGGTGGGGATTGTTATCAGGATCTATGGCGGGATACAACAGTCATGTGAATGAATGCGTGACGGCCTGTCGGAGTGGCTGATTTTAAGGCGCGGAAATGAGAAGCTCAGCGTTTTGCATGCCGGCCAAGCGACCGTGACTGCCTTGAGGCAGTCCCGTTTTCTTTGGTTTAGCCCGTAAGATAATATTGGAGGTTGTAGCTCATTTTGCCGTATCATTTAGTACTGGTGTATATCTACGACTACAACTACAAGGTTTCTTCTTCCCTCGTCCAAATATAAATTTCGCATTAAAGTAAGGCAGTTAATTTCCCAAGAAAGCTACTCAGAAGTCAGAAATGCCGAAGTCGGTATTTTACCAATTTCCTTGAAAAAAAATGAAAGGTAATTAGTTTGATTTGATGGTCCAACGTTCCCACGAAAACGTCAAGTCGTTTCCGTTCCCCTGCTAGTGCTACTAGTACTACATTTCCTTCCCAAACCCAAACTCAACTCCTGCGCAGTGCGCACGGCCCTTTTCCTCCATTACCAAAGTCTCACGCAAAGCTAAAGCTCGACCTGGTGAAACAAAGGCGCCTGAAGGATACAATCTAGTTCGCAAGTCCTCTCCCACGATTCACAGGGCTCTTCTTCCAATTACCGCTTCCTGAAACCCTAGCTCCTTCACCATCATGAGTGCTCCCGCCATTGCAGGGGTAAGTAAGTCCGTCCCTCCACTGGTAGATCTTGTTAGAATTTCTCCGTATCCAGCTTTGTGGCCGTTCTTTTGTCTCAGATCTTGATTATCTCTACTTGATTTGGACGTCTCTTTTGTCTTCCGTTCTGCTGTGTCGGTCGTTGTTGAGAGATTTATTTGTTTTTTGTATTGGGCAGGGAACGAGCTTGTTCACTGGCTTTACGCGATTATGCAAGGGCCTCGCCGTGGTACTCGTCGCCGGTCACATTGTAGTTCAGACTTTACCTTTCACTGTCAACTATCTCGCCCTCATTCCCGCCAGGTTGAGATGTTCATGATCATCTTCAATTCTCTTTGTTGAATACTTTGCTTGATTAAGTAATTTTCTGAATGATGTTGCTGATCTCCGCGTGAACATTCTCCCAGTGTGCTTTCTAGAGTTGACGGTGCATTTTTTGAGATCACGATCTAGTTTAGTATAGACTTCGATTATAAGTTTAGTGATTTTCAAGCAGGATATGAGGTGAATTGATGAGATCTAAGTGGATGTCTAAGTTGCAAGTAGGTTCATTGCCCCTGTCTGCATGAAATTTGCTAATGATGTTCTTATGACCAAACAATTTCAGTGTGAATCAAGTTCGAATTATAGAAGAGGGGGCAGAGGTTTTAAGTTTTACATACTCCATTGCACTAGATCTTTGCATGGACTAGAATCTTTCTTTTTTCCAAAACATCATACTCTGTGATCTTGCTGTGTTTTGCATTTCAATGACGTTATGGTGTGGCCTTTGGTACTTAAGACCAGTGCTTAATTAGTTAATGAAAGATGTTCTTATGAACGAACGATTTCACTGTGAATCAAGTTCGAATTAGGGAGGAGGGGACAGAGGTTTTGAGTTTTACATACTCCATTGCACTAGATCTTTGCATGGACTAGGATCTTTCTTTTTTCCTAAACAACGTACTCTGTGATCTTGCTGTGTTTTGCATTTCAATGACGTTATGGTGTGGCCTTTGGTACTTAAGACCAGTGCTTAATTAGATTGTCTTGGATATTTATGACTCCTGTCAATCCAATCTGAACAAGATCTATGTAAGATTTGAACCAAAAAAAGTTCGAAGGGGTGGACCACCGTTTATTGCAATGCTGTGGGGCTAGCATAGCCAACATGTCGAAAACTTATATGTGGGTAAATTATTGATAAACTTCCTGTGGGAAATTTATCCTTGTAGGACTATACCTTTCGCATGGAACCTCATAACAGCTGGCTACATTGAGCAAACAATATATGGAGTATGTTGTTCTTCTAAAAGTTTCGGGAATTGAATTGCCTATTTTGTATTCACTTTATAATCTTACTCATGAAGACATTGATCACGTAGGTGGTTGCCAACACTTTGTGTCTTCTGGTTATGGGGAAGTTGCTTGAACCAGTTTGGGGATCCAAGGAGTTCTTAAAGTTTATTTTCATTATTAACCTCCTTACCTCAGTCTGTGTTTTTATCACTGCCATCACCTTGTACTACATAACAACCCAGGAAACTTACCTGTAAGTATACGTTTCCACTTGTGTAATTCACTTCTCTTTCGTTTGTGGTAATTCACTTCTTTTCTTTCTTTGGTGTTACTGTTTGCTACATCCTCCTGTCTCTGTTACATTCTTCCTGTTAGTCATTCCATCATTTTTTTTTTCATCTCCCCATTACTGGCAGTTTCACAAGGAGAAAATCAGTAACAGCTTCCAAAATGATGCTGCAACTATTGGCAGTTACTTTTCTAAAAAAAAAAAAAAAAACTATTGCCAGTTGGCAACAAAGTTTGCATACAGAATGTCTTCCATATGACTGCAGTAGCGGTACTTCTTAAAAACTTAGCGTGGCCTAAATAGATTTGCAATAAATCTAATATATGCAGCATCCTGTCACTGGGTTAATCATTGTTGCTAAATTGATTGGTTATTTCTGTTTCCAGTTACATGCCTGTATCTGGTTTTCAAGGAGTGGTGTCCGGTTTCTTGGTTGGCATGAAGCAAATTATACCTGACCAAGAGTTATCTGTGCTGAGAATAAAGGCTAAGGTACGACGGACCCTTCAGTGTTCTTCCTTCAAACGACTAACTAACTTACTGCAAAACTGAGGAGATTTGTCCGATCCAATCAACTTACTGGTGTTACCTTTTTTACAGTGGTTCCCATCTATAATGCTATTGCTATCAATTGCTGCTAGCTTCTTCACAGAGGAATCAGCTAAATACCTTCCGACACTTATATTCGGCACATACACGAGCTGGATTTACCTGAGATACCTACAGAGAAAGCCCGAAACAAAACTTAGAGGAGATCCCAGCGACGATTTCACATTCTCCAGTTTCTTCCCTGATTTCCTCAGGTACAAATTAGTTTGCACTTTGTCGGCCCAGCCAACAGATTATCTTGTATTTCTCGTCTTAAGCAGGGTTTGCTCTCGATGCAGACCGGTTATCGACCCAATTGCATCGATTTTCCATCGGTTGCTTTGTGGAAGATCTCAAGCCCCTGGCGAGATGGAGGGTTACACATTGGGAGGTACAGCACTGCCCGGGTCTGACCCCATCGAGGCATCTAGGAGGAGGTAAAGAGGACTTCTTTCTTTTGGTTTGGTTGCTTTGAACAACAGAAAATGCACATTTGTTTAAAAGAGTAAAAAACATGGGATGAACTTTGCAGGGAGAGAGGAGCTAGAGCACTGGAAGAAAGACTGGCGGCTGAGAAGCTGGCTGCTGCACAAAGCATTGAAGAGTTGAAAAAGGATGCCCCTGAAAATAATGTGTAAAGATTATCTTCTTCTTTTAACTTCGAGAAAAAAGAGACAACTCTCCTCTACCAGATAATGAGATATGTGCAGCAGGTTTGGGAGATTCAAACCTGAAGTTTTAACCGGTCGGCCACCCGATCGCCATTGCCTTCGTCCTCTTTCTTTCTTTCTCTCTCTCCCTTCTCTCCTATCTGTTACTTCTGTTTGGGGATTAATATTCTGCAGTCAGTTTTGTTGTCCATATAGCCAGCCGCTGATCAGAAATCGGATCACAGTATAAATGTCTGTCTGTTTGTCTGTCTTTCTTCTTCTTTTCCTGTGTTTCGCTTCCACTTCAGGAAATATTGGTTGATTGCATCGTGTCCCACATTACTTGCAGCTGCATGAAGACGTGGTTCTGGTCTGGTCCCAGGAATAAAAAGAGTACATGTAATCCGTTCCATGTTCCGAATTTTGGTAGTTTGTTTTACATTTTTAACGTCGGTCTCAAAAAGTTACTTGTGTTTTGTAAAATTATTAATTGAACAAAGATGATAATGATTTAAAAATGTTGGGTGTTTCTTATGGTTTGCCACTCTTATTAATCAAATGGGACCCTTTACACCGACAAAATGCAAAGTGATATGCTTTCCTACTTAATATTTTTTGGGTGGGTTTGAGTTATCTTCCGGCTAAACTAAGGATCATGAGGTTGAATGTTAAAAACGTTCAATTGTATGATTTGTATTCCCTAATTGTTTGACCCGGATTAGTACCGGGGATTAGTGTGGAACCTTGATCCGGACTCCCTCGTCTGATCTCCTCGGGAGTGGAAGAAACCTGTGGAGAGTCGGGGGCGGCCCCCGTGATCTACACTCCGACGCCCAAGTTAGAATAGGATATATGATAGAGTGTAGAGAGAAATGTAGAGAGAGATAGGGTTTAGAGAGAGGACCATAAGTGGTAAAGTGAGGGAAGGGAGAGAAGCAGTCCCTTTGCTTGGAGGGTCTGGCCTCCTTATATAGGAGTCGGAGGCATCCATTGGACGCCTCCCGGTGGTGGACGCCTTCCGTCGATGGACGCCCCCCGGTGGTGGACGCCTTCCGGTTAATGGACGCCTCCCGGTGGACGCCTTCCGTCGATGGACGCCTTCCGGTGAATGGACGCCTCCCGGTGGTGGACGCCTCCCGGTGATGGACGCCCCCCGGTGTACTGGACCCTAGAATGGGCTTGGGCCCAAGGTGAGACGCTTTGTGGTGGGCTTGGGCCCGTATTAGGCGGGTTAATACTAGACCCAACATTTTGGCGCCCACCGTGGGGCCCACTACTTCGTCACCGGGAAAAGATGGGAGACGACTTTGAAACCCCGCTCAAGGGTATGACCGAGAACAACACCCTCCGAGGTCTATCACCAAGAGTAGAAGATGAATTAGAGCTTGAGGAGGTAGTCAAAAGCCAAGGCGCACAAATCGCAAGCATGCAAGATAGCCTATCGCAAATCCTCCAGCTGCTGAAGACAAGAGAAGACCCGCCCGAGGGGTCGAAAGGAAGGACTCGAGAAGAAAAGCTAAAGGCCGCCCTGATCCTCGACAGCCCTGCTCGGACAGAAGGCGGGGGACAGGGGGCAGACGAAGTCGGTCTGGGTTTCCTCGAGGAACACTTACGGTCGACCTACGGGAAACACAAAAGTCCCAACGTCCTCCAAAATCCGCTCTCTAAGGAGCTGTTCAAAACCCCAGTACCGCCCAATTTCTCCTCTCTTGGGCTACCCTCGTACAACGGGACCTCAGATCCCGCCGACCACCTTTGCGCTTTCATGTTGAAGATACAACGGGACCTCATATCCCTTGGATTGTTAAATTTTTAGAAAACCACTTATATCAATAATTTTTAGAAAAGAACAATAATCACATTAATAAAAGTAGATACTGGTTATAATAAACAGATATTAATGAGGACTGAAATTTACCATCTCTAACGAATTTTGCTTCATAGATAGAAAAAAAAGTAGAGCGCTTGTTGATAAATAGTTGGTGGTTAATTGACAATGCGATGATTTATAGTTAACAGGTTGGCAGTTTTTAACCGCGCGCACAGAACAAACCTCATCATCTCAAAAAACTCTTTTCCCCCTTTAATTTCGTGCTGTGTTTTCTTTAACCAAACAAAAAGCAATCCAAAGCCAAGCCCAAGGAAGAGAGAGAGAGAGAGAGAGGAAAGAGGGGCCTCCGAATAATCCGCGAGCTAGCCACTTGTATATTCCCTCTTTCTTTCTCCTCCTCTTCTTCTTCTTCTGTTCCCCTTTCCCTTCTCCGACCGTCTTCCTTCCTCCTCCCTTTTTTGACCAACCGGAAGTCAACCTCAATTCCTCCCCTTCCTCCGTCTCCTCCTCCGCCTCCTTCCGCCGCTCAGGTACGCCCTTCCGATCCATCGCCTCCGATTTCCCTGCAATCATCCGTCTCTTCCTGCTATCAATTCTCCCTCCCTCTCTCTCTCTCTTCCTCCTTTGTTTCGCCGTTTCCTGCTTGAATTCGCACGCATCATCTACCGTTTTCTTGCGGTCATCGTCTTGATTATTGCGCTTAATCGGGTGAAAATCATTGGGCTAAGGTTCGGAGCTTTTGGTGTTCGTTTTGATGAGCTCGGATGCTTCTGATTAGACTAATTTTGCTCCCTGCCTATGGCGTGGATCTTACATTGATGCTGGGGAAACGCTGGGATTCGGTTTCTTTCGGCTTTGTTTTATTGTTATTTTCGCTCTGGTCACCGGATAAGGGATACTAATTGCCAAGATGTACATATTTTCCATCCAATTCCGTTTGTGGTAGGGGAGAAGAGAGAAGAAGGGGCGGGGGTTGGGGAGCTGGGAGAGAGTACATTGTTCCGATTCGATTTCAACGTTTCAAATTCATCCCCCGGTACTAGGAAGAACCATGATGATCACTGGATTTGGCATTTGATGAACTCTGTCCAGCCCTGTGTTTGTGAGGGAATTGTTAGGGCTTTGCATGCATGTGCAAATGAGATTACATAGAACTAAGAATTTGTGCCTACTGAGAGGCTGGGGACTCGTTGCTTGTGACGCATTTATGGTAAAAATGTTGGTACAGAAGGGAGAAAATGTGTACTGTTGTTATTGTTTGAGAGATTCAACATAGGGTGAAGCTCCTGTTCAAGATCTTCTCGCTATAGATATCTTGCTGCTTTCCTTATTTGGACGTGTTAAAGCTTTCTTGACTGAAAGAGTGAAAGTTATGCACAGGTGGTGCTGTGAGACTGGTTTCTTGTCTGGGACGACAAATTTAATTTGATTTGGGGTTCCCTTTTTCAGATTTTTTAGATTTTATTATGCCCTCTCCAATTTTTTTTCTTATTGAACTTCAGAAATCTATAAATTGTTGCCACAGGATTCCTGCTTATATAGCTGTTCCTGAACACTTGGTATCTGGTTACTTTATCTCCAATGTTACTGTTTTTGTTATGTTGCTTATATTTGAGCTACAATGAAGGCCGGCTCTCTTTGTGATCATTGTTTTATACTCTTCTTAGTTTAAGTGACATTTTGGGTCTTCAAGGTACTGTAAATACCAGTATTCCCCTTATGGAAGTAACATCAAGTTCAGATTTGCACGTCTTAGTCTCTCATGCAGTCATATAATCCTAGAATTTTTTTTAGCTTCGTTTCTCAGGATAAGTTCTGCAGCAATATCAGACTCTGGCAATCTTGTTTCAAGTTCTAGCAAACTGTGAAATGTGGAGATAAATGAACTTTTTGCTCTTGAAGTGTCTCTTTGTTTCTTGCTCTTTGAAATAACTGTGAAACAGTCAGATATATGAACATGGTTTGGGCATTGTTTGTTGCAATGAAACAAGAGGGGACTGAAAAGCAAATGAACCATCATGTGTGCAATGAATTTCCCCTGAACACCTCCGTATGTCTTCTTGGTGCTTCATAATTCTACAGAGCCTGGACTGTGGTTTTAGAGATAGTCACTTGTGACACTCCCTAAGAACTTAGTTGTGGATAAGTTTTCATCTTTATGTTTAGTTTCTATTTCATGATTTATCTAGCTATATTTGTGCATTCGAAGTAACAACAATCATGCAAGCAGCATCCTCCGTAAACGCAACAATGGACTTTATTTTGGTTTCCTCTTGCTTGTAGGTTGGATTGCATTGAGCACTCAGACTTGAAGACGTCAGTTTATGTGAAGGCCAATGGGGGACAGACACTTCTCAAACACATCAAATTTCTTTGAGAGAGATAGGGGATGGGGCGAAAGAGATGTAGCTGCTGGAAGGTCCTTTTTATATGCAGGTACTGAAGCTTTCTTCTCGTTTATTATTTGTCTAACCTTATTGGCTAATGTCTCTTCAGTAGGTAGTGCTTTGGTGGCTGATTTCAACATTATTCGTGCAACATGAGTGAGATAGGGATCAGAATTTGAGAATAACACTTGGTGGAAAACTTCTATTCCTATCTGTACTGGTAAAACTGTATGTATCTGTAACAATAATACAGTAATTACTTGCTGCAAATATAATAGTTAGTGTGGCTTACGTTACTCTGGTATCTGAAATGCTTGTTGAGAGATAAGGCATGTAAGATTTACCTACAGCTGTTAAGTCTCTCTTTTCATTTGTCAACATTGATGCTGTTTGGCCTTCTGGCAGTTCTTCTGTTCTTATTTACTCCAACCAACTCCATTGCAGGAAGGGCTGTCACTCCTGAAAGCGTTTCTTATGTATACCCATCTGGTAACATCCTGACAAGTGGACTCAACTGTGCCTCTCAGCACACCTGGGGAAGCGGATCAGTTGAACATTCGTCGACAAATAGGTTAGAAGGTGGTCCACAAGTTCATGGGCACCACTCTGCCTCACATGATACCTTGCCTCAGTTTGCAAGTGAGGGAAGCTTTCCTCTGGAACCCGAGGTCAATGCTACCAGTGGCCCTAATCATTATAATGGTCAGATTATGCACGAAGTCAATGGTGGTTTGGTAGATTATACGACGGCCACAGGGAGAGGCCGTTCGAAAAGGAAAATTCCTAGCTTTATTCCACCATGCGAATTGGGTAGCACTCCAGTATTTTATGGCGCAGGAAGTTCCTCTTCCCAGCCAAACGGGCTTCAGCTGGGTAGTACACCTTCAGATTATAGTAGACCTTTCCCTTCCAACTCGTTTCACTTGCCTCCTCCACATGGTGTTGGCAGTTTGACAATTGGAGGTGAAGACTCTGGGAGTAACCCGAGAAGCAGACCTGTAGTTGATTCGGAGCCTAACCCAAGCAGAAGCTATTTTCAAAATTACACCCCTGGTCCAAATGGTCTAACCTCTCACCTTCCAAACCATGGGGCAATGAACGTCCATAGTATAAATAACAATCCATCTGCTTATGGGCAGAGTCATATTGGTATTTCTCCACCCGCTCATTCTGGGTTTCAACAAGTATCAGGTTAGTTTAGTATATTTTGCTTTCTAATCTCATTCCTTCTTACCCTGCTAAGTAATTGTAACTATTATACGTGCAGCAAATAACACCATGGGCCATGAGATAAGTCCATATTATGCTGGAGGAGGGAATGCAGCAGATGCTAGTAGGTATCAGCACCACCTCCATGAATCCATCTTGAGCAGAAATCCCATTTCACCTCCACAGTATTTTCATGGTCTACCTGCCCTTGCTGTAAATGAGGATCATGCTAACTACTATCAAAGAGCCTTACCTAGTTCCCAGAGAACTAACGTAATATCTTTGCACACGGGGCAAGGTGCAGCAACAGCAGCAATTTCAGGAATGAGTCATCAGCCAATTGTTTCAGAAAGTTATCCTTCGAGATTTGCTAGACCCTTTCTAACCAGAGGCTGGCATCACAACAACCATAGGGAAGGAAGGTCCAGCAGGATGCTCGAGAGATTGCACTTACACACAAATGCTGTTGATTCACAAGACAGAATGGGGGGCGAGGTATGTACTTTTTGATTCTCTTGTGCTGTAGATGAAGCGAGATTCATGCAAACCGTCTTGGCCTCCACGCTTTCCGGCTTCTAAGAGTTATCTGACCATAAATATATGGCTACAACTGCTATGGGGCCTGATTCTTGCTACTGTCACTTAGTGTGGTTTTTCGATGATAACTCTGGGAATTACTTTCTTGACCTCGTGTTTTTTACTTCTCTGCAGCCTTTCATGGTGTTTGATGGCTCATATTTATATGGTTCCAGAAATATGTATGATCAATATGGGGACATGAGGTTAGACGTGGACAACATGAGCTATGAGGTTTGGACTTGGCAAAATCGGTTGTATTTGTGTTTCTAAATGATTCTCTTACGATAAAAGAACCTCAATTAACGTGCTGTTCGCAGGAGCTACTTGCCTTAGGAGATAGCATAGGGAACGTCAACACTGGGTTATCTGAAAACGTGGTATCAAAATGCTTGTTGGAGAAGAAGTACTCGAGTTCAGACATAAACGCAGAAGAGACATGTTCTATCTGCCTCGTAAGTACATTTTTTCTTCTTGAATCCCTCTCCTGACCTGCAATTTCTGATGATGCTCGGCATGTTTACAGGAAGAGTACAAGAAGACGAGCAGGATTGGGAAGTTGAAAAAATGTGGGCACAACTATCACATAGGCTGCATCAAGAAGTGGCTGTCTATGAAGAACTCCTGCCCCATCTGCAAAGGACCAGCAGCCCATCTAGCCGGTCCGGATCAAGAATGACGTCTGCTAGCCCCGGTCTCATGCAGAGATAATAATCCTTAATATCTTAGTAATTGTTTGTAAATATGTTGCACAGACAGATATGGGGATTTGAAATCAACTCTTTCCTCCTCTCAGTCCATAATTTGATTACATTCTTGAAACAGAACATCATCCCGTTTGTATATGTAGGAGTAGATGTGTACTGAAAACGGGTCGAAAAAGTTATTCCAGAGCTTTTTTTAATTTCCTCTTGGGACAACTGCAGCTGCTGCTGCTCAGTGGCTACTAGACCCCAACAAGGAAACATGTTCTGTTTGTTGTGCTGATGGAAGTTTTTTTTGTAAGTAAAAATGTTTGAGTTCCCTTGTACAAGATAGAAAGAAGGGATCTGCATTGATATTTGGTAGATGTACAGTAAAGCTTCTGCTTCTTCGTATAGGGCGGCTTGTCGGCGCCACCTATTATTTGTGCAAAATTACAGTAGGAGAGAATATTGAATCAATTTGAAGGAAGTTAAAAGCAATCAAAAGACGAGAGAGGAGGGCACATAAGATTTGAAGAATTTTACATAATCTTTTTCACAAATCAAATGCTCATTGTAAGTGAACAGCAGAATCATCAAGAATCTAGTTGTTGTCGTGGCTTCATTCGTTCGTATGGTTTGCATGGCAGTCTGACAACACAGGCATCCACAGCAGATCAGCTATCAAATGCTTCTCCAGAATAGTATTGCTTCTGAACCATTTTTCTGTAATCTGAAGAAAGTTCAAAAGCAGCGCATAAGATGATAAGCTTAGCACTCTTACAGCAGGGATTCCATTCCATAGACCAAAAGTCCATCATGCCGTGTCAACAACAACTAGAGAAAGAAGACCAACTAAAGACAGATAGGAGGCGGAAACAAACACAGAATAGCTGCTTTTAGAGGGTATAGATGTAAAACAACTTTAGGTGATTTGAACCTAGAAAGTACAGCTAGTTGCCTAGTTGGAAGTTCCAAGTTCTAAAAGCCAGCAGAGAGAATAAGTTTATTCCATTTTCAAAATGTTTATACAAAAGAGATCAAATTAATGCGTATCATAATTATTGCACTTCTGTATTACCTTCCTTGTTGTTCAATAGTTTTGCAGCATAGCTGTTCAGAGGGCTATCGGGATTGGGCTCTACATTGAAGGAAACCAGCAGTTAGTCAACATACAGAAACAAAATGTCCATGACAAAGAAAGGAAGACACGAGTTGGGGAACAGGTTGGCAAGCATACCACCCAATAGGCTTTGAATTGACAAAAGAATCGTTCTGCAGTCGTAAGCTGAAGACCACTTATCCTATAACAGACAAAAGTGAAGAATCTCATCAGTAACAGGAGAGATGCATCGGAAGCAGAAAGCAAACAAGAATAGCAAAACCAGATGCCGGGCATCGGCTTGGCCAGGTTGGATTGGGGGTGAAATGGTGGGTAATAGTTACCTGGAGAATGTCGAGGCATATGTTACCAAACTGATCAACATTTGGATGAAAGCATATTGTCTCAAATTTCACTTGTGGTGGCTTGAACGGGTACTCGAGAGGAAAACGCAGAGATAGCTTGTAGGACAAGCCCTCATAAGCAGTTCCTTTCCCGCCCTCAATCGTTCCAACCCATGTGAAGATGCTCTCACCTTCAGGGAAAGCTGACACGCCAAGATCTCCTCCACTCATCTGCAGATTAGGACAACAAGCAAATGTTTCAGAAACACCCTAACTTTTCTCCATAGCCGTATGAAATTTGAATTCCCACCACGAACACATCCGTTCAGTTTGCTAACTATACACAGCTCTTCACACCATAAGCAAAAATCCACGCTACTCTAACCCATGGCCCATGAAAACTCAACTAGGTTGCAAGTTATCTCAGCATAAGAAATTCAACTAGTTTGTTGCCAATTTACATGAGCAATAAGAACGAGATATCTATGTGTCACCGTGACATTTGGCTGTGGAGAATTTGCAGTTGCATGTTGCCAATTGTCAGGGATGCAAAGGTCAAGAAGTAAAGTGCCCAAGAGAATTGAGAGGGAAAAGGATTTCTCATATACCATTAGTGACATCAATTCCTTCTGCAACCTGAAACCCCACCAAAAGAAAAGAAACACAAGAAAAAGGTCAGAAACAAAACCATTCATATTGCATAAAACTGAAAAGGGAAAGAGCAAAGATTCCAAATTGATGTCTACCCTCCAACCCCAATCCATGCACTCCCTTTTTCCCAGAAACCAAACACATAATTCAGGGGGGAAGAAACCAGGAAAGAAGGGTAAAGGACGATGGCGCCAACACACAGGAATTAGAAAGCGGCCAGCGCCACTAGAGTCTCCAGAGAAAGAACAAATAGCAATCACAGGAAACCAAGAAAGAGAGACAAAAAAAGGAGGCGGAGAGACCTTTGTGATACGGAGGTAGTGTCGACGGAATTGGGAGGAGGGACGGGAGCCTTGGAGGCAGCCGCCGCCTGACGGCGGTGCTGAGGGGAGTTATCGGCGGTGGTGGGATTGGGCCTGACCTCCATGACTAAGTAAGGAGTTTCCCTTCCGCCGCTGATCCGATGAAGAATTCAAGTCCCAGAGAATTGGAGTGGAAGGTAGGGAGTGAAAAATTAAGTATGTAATCGAAATCCAAAGAGAACAGCCAAGGCCGATCAATCAATCAAAACGAAACCAGAAAAATTGTAATCCGATTTTGCATTCCTGGCTTATTTTAGTTCCCAAAATGCTTTTCTTTCTTCCTTTTTTCTTTTTCTTTTTCATTTATATTGGACTTTCTTCATAGTTTTTTTTTTTTTTTTTTTAGGAGAGACTTCATAGTTATTTTATTGAACTATTTTTTTTTTTTTTTGACAAAAGATAGATATTTATATTGATTCAGACCAATAAAAGTTACACCCTGGAAAACAGCCAGGTCTGAAAATCAAAGACAGGACTCATAGCCGGGGACAAAGAAAGGGCCTTTCTAGCCACCGAATGGGCTACCCTATTGCTACCCCGACCTACAAATCGAACCAAGAACTCTGACTGGGCCCTAAAATAATGCACAACTTCAGCAAGAACCGCTCCAGCCTGATTGTCTCTAGCATCTCCCTGATTGATCTTATCAACGATCACCTTGGCATCGCCTTCAAAGACAACGTTTGTAAATCCAAGCTCTAGACACCAGAACATAGCTGCACGAAGCACCAGTAACTCCACCACCAAGGGACTATCGATCACGGGAATGTGGACCCCTTTTATCAACAGGATCTCACGAGAGGGAGTCAAAATAACAATCCCTCCCGCTGAATGAGACCCTCTCTTCGTAGCACCATCCCACATACACACCATTCTACCAACCCCCACCGGAGGTTGCGGAGCAGACCCCGGCACAACCGTATCCGGCGAACTGCCTACCGGCGGCACACTCATCCATTCCTCAAATTGCTGGTGGAACTGTCGCATCAAAGCAGGGATGTCAAACTGTTTGCCCTCAAAGACCACCCAATTCCGGGAACGCCAGATCCTCCACAGGACGGCAACGACTGCCATGAATAGAGTGGGCTGGTGAACCAAGGCAAGCAACTTCTTAAGAAAAAGCGGAAAAGTCTGCCGGGGCAACCCTTCGCCCAGGTACTCCAAACCCGAATAGTCCCACAGTGCACGAGCGACCGGGCAATAGAGAAATAAATGCTCCATTGTCTCCGAACCAGCCCAACACACCGGGCAACGCGGGTGCACCGGGACCTTCTTCTCAATAAGTGCCTCAGTGGTTGGGAGTGCCCGGCTAAAGATCTGCCAGAGAAAAACCTTTAACTTAGGGGGGATCTTAGCATCCCACACCCGGATCCAACTCCCCTTATCCATCCAACTTGCCAGGGACTGCCAACTACCCTTCCTCCTATCCAGGGACACCGCAAGGTGATAAGCCGATTTGACAGTAAAAACCCCGTCCTTCGTACCATGCCAGATCAATTTATCCTCCATATTTTGCCGAGGCAGAGGGATTTCCTTAATTGCTCGACAAGTAACCGGATCAAACCATTGATTCAGTTTAGCATCATTCCATCTCCCCTCCCCTGGCCAAATAACCTCAGCCACCCTTGGGCTACCTTCACCTGGCAAAATTTGCGGGTTATAGCGCAAATCTTCCAATGGAACACGCGGTATCCAATTAGACTGAAGGAGGGAAGCAGTACTACCATTCCCAATCTGCCATCGGAGGCCTTCTTCCAACAGCTGGCGCCCAAACAAAATGCTTTGCCAACCCCAGGACGGCCGAGATCGGGCTTTGGCTTGCAGAAACGATCCATTGGGGAAGTACTTGCCTTTATAAACTTGGGCTAAAAGGGACTGAGGCTCAGAAAAGATACGCCAACCAATTTTAGCCAACAGCGCTTGGTTAAAATGCTCAAATCGACGGAACCCCATCCCCCCCTCGTGTTTACTTCTACACATATTCCTCCAGGACACCCAACGCACCTTTGAGTTACCGTCCTCAGCTCCCCACCAGAACCTGGCAACATGCTTATCCAGTAATCGACACAGGGACAGAGGCAATTTGAAACAGGACATTACATGCAATGGCAGTGCCATAGCAATTGACTTAATCAAAGTCTCTTTGGCTGCCCACGAGAGTGTCCTCTGTTTCCACCCCTGAAGCCGTTCAAGCAATTTCTCCTCCAGGTAACGGAAAGTTGCCATTTTTGACCGTGCAATAAGCGTAGGCAATCCCAAATATTTATCGTGGACTCCTACCGCCCCCACCCCCAAAATAGTGGCCAAAAACTCCTGATCCGGTTGAGCAATATTTTTGCTAAAGCAGACAGCCGATTTCTCCAGATTCACACGCTGGCCACTGAGTTCCTCATAATCATTCAGTACCTCAATCAGATTCTCACATTCTTGCAAAGATCCACGCAGGAATAAATAAGAATCATCCGCAAAGAAAAGATGAGAAATCCGAGGAGCACGCGGAGCCACCTTTACCCCCGCCAAACGCTTCTCCGAAACTGCTTTACGGATAAGTGCCGCGAATCCCTCAGTGAAGAGCACAAATAAGAGTGGGGAAAGCGGATCACCCTGCCGTAGGCCCCGGGAAGGACTGAAATAACCTGAGGGGGTCCCATTCATTAGAACTGAGAAAGAGGCAGATCGAAGACACTCATAAATCCATCCTTGCCAGACCGAGCTAAAACCCATCTTATCCAAAACCGAAAGAAGAAACGGCCATTCGACTCTATCATAGGCCTTTTCCATGTCAACCTTTAGAGCCATATACCCTTTCTTCCCTCGCGTTTTAATTTTAAGATAATGCATTAACTCATGTCCAAGGAGGATATTATCAATTATCTGCCTCTCCCGAATGAAGGCATTCTGACCATCTGAAATGATAAGCGGTAAGAGGGAGGAGAGCCTCTCAGCCATGATCTTGGTTATAATCTTATAAACAAACTGGCACAGGCTAATTGGGCGTAACTGCTTCACATGTTCCACATTATCTACCTTGGGAATCAGCGTTAGCCAGGTATGATTAAAGCTTTTGAGCATCCTACTCGTTTCAAAAAACGAGCACACAGCCTCAATTACTGACTCTCCAACAATATCCCAGAAGGCCTTAAAGAATTTGCCCGTGAAGCCATCAGAACCAGGAGCTTGCGTCGAGCCCATCCTGAAAACTGTTCTTCTGACTTCACTTGGCAAAACTTCAGCCGTCAGGCTAGCATTCATCTCTGGTGTGACACTGCGAGGGATCGGCAAAGCCGCCACCCTCTCAGCCACATCTGGAATCGTAGTCTCTGAGGTAAATAAATTCTGGTAGAACTCTGTAGTAATAGATGCCTTATCTTTCTCCTCCGTTACCCATTCTCCTCTAGTGTTATGTAACCCTGCCACAAAATTCCTCTTTCGCCTAGTACGCGTCACCGTATGAAAATATGAGGAATTCTGATCACCTTTCTGGAGCCATCGTACCCTTGACTTCTGCTGCCAATAGCTTTCTTCTGCCTCCCATTGGCGCGACAGCTCCCTTTCCAGGATACGGATCGAGTCCCAATCAATTGGGTAAATTGCTCGGATACGCTCAATTTCCCCTTGAAGAGTTTTGATATTGCGTAGGGAATTCGTGGTTCCTGCCCTACTCCAGTCATAGAGAAGATGTCTCAACTTTTTTAGGCGCTCCCATAGCCGAAACATAGGGGTACCTTGAATATTCTCCTGCCATACATACTGGACCATGGCCCTTACCTCTGGATTATCCGCCCAGCGGGCGTCAAAGCGGAAGAGGGGTCTGGAATTCCGAACATATGGCTTATCAGAGAGGAGCAAGGCGCGATGATCAGAGCCCTGGTCCGTGAAGTGCTTAACCAGGGACTCAGGCAAAATATCAATCCATGACTGGGAGCACAACGCTCTATCCAGCCTCTCACGAATACACGCAGCCCCCATACGCTTGTTTGTCCAGGTGAACTGGTCACCCTGAAATCCTGGGTCATGGAGCCCCAAATCCTGGACAAACTCACGAAGGCTCAGCGATTGAGCGGCATTCCAAGCATTCCCCCCATCTTTCTCGCCCTCATGAAGGGTCGCATTAAAATCACCCATGACAACATAGGGAAGAACGATCTCATTACAAATCTCCTGGAGTTGGGCCAATTGACCCGCCCTAGTTGCCAGGTCACAACTAATGTAAACCGAAACCACAACATAAGAAAAACTGACTTCATTAATCTGAGTGCAAATACAAAAATTGGAATGAAAGAACACCGAGGCAACAACCCCGGGGGACCAAGCTACCACTAACCCTCCCGATGCATCAACAGCATCAACAAAAAAACAATGAGAATTCTGAAAACCCAAACCCCGCATACGACGGGCAACTACTTTCCGGCTCGATCGTGTTTCTGAGAAGAACATAACCGTGGATATCCGCCCAAATCCGACCTTATCGGGTAGGGTAAAACCCGAACTCGAAGAACTTTTAGTGGGTACGGGTAAAACCCGAACCCGAATATTGCGGATAATGGGTGGGCATGGTTTTCTCACTATCCAACTCGAACTCGGCCGATTATACACATGCATATATATTTTGTCTAGAAATAATCAATAGAGTGAAAGTTTGTTATTTTTTTTTATAATAAATAGAATAATAATAACAATTATTTTGTATTGTCGAATATCAAATTATTATTTTTATTGAAATTGATCTTGGAAATTTATTCAGCATTGTGGATTGAAATATCAAAAGGTATCAAATATAGGGATGGCAAAAATATCAGTAACCGTGGATATCCGCCCAAATCCGACCTTATTGGGTAGGGTAAAACCCGAACTCGAAGAACTTTTAGTGGGTACGGGTAAAACCCGAACCCGAATATTGCGGATAATGGGTGGGCATGGTTTTCTCACTATCCAACTCGAACTCGGCCGATTATACACATGCATATATATTTTGTCTAGAAATAATCAATATTTTTCTCTACAAACTTTACATTTAGCATATAAATATAATATTTTATGGAATTGTGTTATTTTAATTAATTTTCTTCATTCTAGTGAATTGTTGTCGTACTTTTCTTCTTACGTAACGTGAGAATACTCCTGAATATCAACATATTGGTTGGAGTTATAAAGAGAAACTATTACCCATGGATAACCGTGGATACCCGAAACCCGAACGGGTATGGGCACGGTTTGGATTTTTTACTCGTTTCTTATATGTGTATGGGTATGGGTAAAACCCGAACTACTTTGGGTAGAGTAACGGATATGCACTATCCGTCCCCGACCCATTGCCATCCCTAATCAAATATTTATAATTAATTAAATATAGCCACAACTTCTACTTGGTTCTCGTTTTTTTATAACTCACAAGCCCCCAATTCCCACCTAACCAGGGTTGGCTTTTCTTATTTTCTAGGCCACTCTTGTTCTCACTCAATTTCTTGTTAATTTTTTTTAAAAAAGTGAATATTCTCTTTAGTCGTTTCTTAGCCTCCAAATCGTCGAATCAGTGATTACCATTGAAGAGGAATTGAGATATCACCAATTCACCATCTCCTCCTTCTCTTTCTCCATGTTTTAGCTCTGAACAAACACAATACTTTTGCCTATTCTCTTAGCCTCAAACCCGAGCTTATATTGAATCCATACGTGCGATTAGTTTTTATTAGGCTTTTCTAACATCAATTTCTCATCACCAAGATTTTAATCATGAAATTAAAACCATTAAAAAATACTCGCATTATAGGTGTTCGAAGAATTATATTTTTTATACATTTAATTGTTAATTTCAAAATGATTAATTTAGTATTCGGGAATAAAGATATCGTATCCAAAAAATTGGGAAATTGGAAACTCAAATTTATTTATAGATTGAAATAAATTTTCAAACATTATTCGATATTTGAAATATCGATACTTGGTACCATATCGAGATACTACTATCGTACCAATTTCCATTCTTAGGTTCCGATGATATGCCCTCTGACCTCGTCTTGGTTTACCTAGAAGTATTTTAATCATTTGAATTGCAAATTTTTCATAAGTCAACCTATATGGGAAATTTATATGAGCCACTTTTATGTAGTTAAATTAACATGCAATATACCAAGGTTATTATGATATTGATCAAATTTTTATTTTTTAACAGCAGTACTAGACTGATATGCTATGAGGTGAACAATATTTTTTAATTTTCGTTATTAGTTGGACTTCCTTTCTACCCCGATTCGCCAGTTTGAAAGCTAAAAAGAGAAAATGTGCCTGGGTTTCTTCCTTGCTCTTACTTCTTCGGTACAACAATTCTATACATCACATGCTTTCGATTCTATCATCATGTACAACAGAATGTACCTTCCCCCTCCAACTGCAAACCGAAAAAATGAGAAAATCCGATCCCCAACGCCAAAGAACAAAATAACAAAAAGATTTGAACAAGCAGCACTAATCTCTCTACCCTTTCCTGAACGTGAAATCCGACAACCCAATGTTCATCTCATGCTGCGTCCTGATCGATCCGGGCCCCGGCGGCAGCCGCATCTCCTCCGCCGCCACCACCACCTGCTCTATATTCCTCACCGCCACCACCACATCCTCGTCCCCCTCCTCCTCCGCCGCCTGCTGCTGCTTCGGCTGCCTCAAACTCATGTTGTGCTGGAACTGATCCTCGGAGTACTCCCGGTGCCCGCCGGCGCCGCTTCCACTGCCGCCGTGGCTGCTGTAGTTATGGTGGACCGGCGAGTTCAGGGCCTCCGGGTCCCACTGATCAGCGTCGAAGTTGGAGTTCCTCGCCGGAGAGTTCATGAGGCTGTCGGGGGCCGTGCTGCTCCGGTAGTTGTGGAGGAGGTGGACAGGGGACATGCCGTGGCTCGGCGTCTGGGGCCGGCTGGACGTCGGCGTGCCGCCGTGTCTGGTCTGCCTCCTCGCCGTCCGGTGCCAGTTCTTGAGCGCCGTCGCCACTCGGTCGTTGAAGATGGTTGGCCTCATGGTGGAACCCATTTGTGTGACCAGTGCGTACAGCGGCAGGGTCACGTAACTGCACAGCACTTGGATCATCACCCTGCATAGATAGAAGATAAGGATACAGAGTTAGCCCTGACTCTCGACTGTTCAATTTGTGAATTGTGAGTTCCATTGACGTTTTTTCGGGCCGAAAATCGACTTACCCCATGGAGATTCGGATGACAATGTCCTCGGTCTTCTCGTGGAAGCAAGTTTTGATTCCAAATTCGTACTGTGGGGGAGATCGGAGTGGAAGATATGATTAGAATGTGATTGTTGTGAAAAGGGGTTGATTCGTTGTATTGATTAATTTGCTTACCACACTCCAAATGAAGAAGGCGAGCTGGAATGCATTCTGGAAGAGGCAGAAATGGATGAGGGAGAGAATGAGGCGAGGGCTGCTGAACCAGAAGAGGTCATCTCCTGGTTGAACCACAGGTGCGCCTTTAACCACATCGCCTCTGTCCTGAATTCTGAGTCCCAGCTGGGTTATGATCACTTGAAGCTTTACTCCCACCACCAGGATTATCTGCAATCACACCAGTGTCCCAAATTCCATTCATTAGCCTTCTTGTCTCGCAAGCAATGAACTTGGGGATGGATGGGGAAAAGGTAAAAGAGAGAATTTGTGCTTACAATTAGTGGAATGAAGGGTAGCCAGAGATAAGCAAACCATCCTGTGAATCACAAAGATACACAACAACTCGTTTGTCTTAATTCTTTGATCCATGAAATGGGCAAATGAGTTAACCATCATAAATTCTGGAAGTGTTGGTCTTACCATGTGTGTTCGACATCAGGAACAGCACTGCAAAAAACCACAGAACCGGACTGCAGGGGAAGATTGAGATAATACATCAGTTAGTTACTTAGCTAGCTAGCTAGTTGTATGCGCTATAAGCAAGGAAATGAACAAGGAGGGTGAGGGAGAGCAAAAACCTGATCCCTACAACAACTTTGAAGTCGTCCTCGAGTGATCTGTTGACGTATTTCTGGAAGTTGAATCTGCTCTGACTCCCAGGTGCCAAATGTGCCTGCAATATGCAACCAACTTCCAATTTTTAGTGATCATAGTTACTGCCGGTATAACTAAGCATACTGATTGGTTAATAACTTCATAAATTGCTGTTATTTTCGTTCTCGACTCACCGCGATAAACCCATGTCTCAGGGTCATGTAATCCACCTTGGTCACTGATCTAAAGAACTGTCTGAAGAAGCAGACCTGTTGTTACAGAATAAGGAAAAGGAGGAGATGGTCAGCCAAGCATGACGAACCCTAGAATTGACTGTAAACTTCAGCAACCATAAATGGTCCGTTGATGGTTATGGTACTTACAATCCAAAGAAGAATTGTGGACTTGCTCCATAGTTTCAAGTGGCGACGCCCAAAAGATGTATCCCTTGCAAACCTAAATCTCTCTGGGTCTGCACGCACAAACAAGTCAGCTGCCACAATCAGCACATGGATAGTTGGTTATTTGAATGAAATGAACTTTTAAGGCAGAATGAAGTTTACCATTATGGTACTGATACTCAAGTGTCTTGGTTTCATCCTCCCATTGCCTCCACTTTCTCATCTGCAATATCCAATCACTTTTGTCAAGTAAAAGGGGTAAAGCAGACAGAAATAAAAGAAGAAAAAACCTTATCCCAATGGAAAGCAAGGGGGAAAAAAGATAGTTTCATTCACCAAAGTACCTTGGTTCTGCCCAGTGCATAGGTGAGGATGCAGTAAAGGATGTGGAAAACTGCCAGCACGAAGATAAATATATGCAGCTGATGGATACCATAGGCCGACACAAACGCTACTTTTCCCTGAAGCATTTCCACAAACACCTCTCCTTCAATATCGTTGATCCCGATAACCACAACCAAAAAACAGAAGAAGGGAAGAAGACATAAAAACTATCTCGATTGCAGTAAGTGTTGATTACCTTCTCTGTACACTTGTCAACGCCTTTGGTGGCTAAGATTCGCCTAACGCTCACTTCAGGATCCAGAAACTGGAGAAGACGGCGGCGGCGGTCCTCGTCGCCGTCCCCTGAATCCTCTGATTTCTCTTGTTTCTTGGTGCAAGGATGCCAGGTAGCTCCAATGCTTTCGGAGACGCAAATACTCGAGATTGGGCTTTGGAACACTGTGAGCAGCAACGACAGGAAACCCAGCAGCATCAGCTCCGCTTTCACTTTCTCCAGCGCTTCCACTAGAGCTGGCTTGTGCAACTTGTGCAGCCACTGGATTCAAGAACCGAGAAAAAAACAGAGTCAGAAACGAGAAAGAAAAAACAGAGACCAGCTGCTAGAAATCGGAAAGTATGGATCTTCCAATGTTCTCACCTTGTGGGCGAGATGGATCAGCTGTTCGATGAAGATGGAAATGACGACCAGCACAAAGCACACGGCGGCGACAGCCCAAGTGGGCGTCTCCTCCAAAGTCCGCTCCATGTTGCTCCCGCCGGCCATCTCTCAAACTTTTTCCGTCCGATCAACTAATTCAATTTCTTTCCTGACAACCACCCAATCGATCAAAGCCCAGAAGACAAAACTGACAAGCAAATTGCAAGGCTATAGCTCCGGCTCTAATCGAGCTCCTTCAAACATTACACACTGCAAAAATGCTTGTGAGTTGTTAACAAATGGAGGGGGGAAGGAAGGAAGGCTATATACATCGATGTACACAGAGAAAGACACACAGAGAAGGAGGGAACGGGAGACTTTGACTATTTCAGAGATGAGGGCTGGGAGAGAAAGTGAGTTTAAGCGCGTGTATGCAAAACAATGAAACGATGAATCGATCTCTTTGTCACTCTCATTCTAATCGACAAAGAAAAGTCTGAAAAATGAGTCCTCAATTATAATTCCATCTTCTTTAAAAAAAACTATTATTATTATTATTATTTTCCTTAACAAGAAAAATGTCCCTTCCTTTGCAAAGAATAACTAATTTTACCAACAAAAAAAACTAATTTTAGATCAGACCTAAGTTTCTTAAATTTTCTAATTTTGATTTACTATTAAACTAAACTCTTATTCACTAGAATTAGAATGACTAACAACAATATATAGATTCGATTTAAACGGACTCGAACCATGATAAAATTTCGGTTTAGACAATGATTAAGGAACACAAAAGCATCTAGCTAGCCTCATTCCTCAACCCGCCATTGGATTGAAATGTTTCGGTTGACTGAGTTATGGGGTGGTTTTGACTTTTGAGTAACTTTGCTGTCCCATCCATGGCTCCAGTGTTTTACTTTTCCCCAGGTTTCCAAAACAGCGGGGAGGATTAGCGGTTTTAGTCCATAATTTTTTGGCTGTATGTGATTAGGGGGATTTGATCATTGATTTAGTGGTGGATTGCAGTGCATGGGAATGAGGAGTAAGGCCTGAGAGGTAAGATCTAAAGAAGGGCGGCCCTCCAACCCCATTCATTGTCAGCTAGCTTCATTATAATATGATGATCTATCTGTGTTTTCTTTCTCTCTTTTGTTTGTTAGTCTCAGCTCTTTGGTTGGTTGAAATTAGTTAATGCCCATTTGGGTTGAGACAGAATCTGGATATTGACGACATTAACTTTACAGTTCTGTAAAAGGAAGTGCATAATTAAACAGGTAAATGGTTAAGTAATGGTGATGATGATGATCATATAACGAACTAGATAAGTAGTTAGGTTAGTTAGTGCGTTTCTCTCTAATTTCTCGCCTCTCTCTGAAGTCTGAACGACAAGAAGAAACAAGGCCATATGGGCTGGGTTGTATATATAGTAAAGCCATCGATTTCGGCCCAGTGAGCAGAGCAGAGCCCGGTCCAGCCTGCGCGGTTCGACGTGCATGGGTTGTATTTATTTCCTCTCTCAACTACGTTAAAAAGTATTGCATTCGGCACCAAACGACTCGAATGAAAAGGGTAAATACAATTTAATATCCAAATCTTTCATTTTAAACAATATAATAGCCAAACCTTTTCGAAAACAATCTAATATCCTAATCGTCAACTTTTCGTTCGTTTGACCGTTAGTTGACACTTCAAAAAAGTTCGAAATACTACGTTTCATCAATATCCATCGATATCTTCTCTGAAAAACCACCAACATATCGTGGTTCCAAACCCGAGAAGTCCATGACTCCACCATGATGGTATAGAATATATGAATATTCAGTCATCTGCAATGCCAAAACAAGAAAACAAAGTTGTATTGTGACAATTTCCCCTAAACAAAGCTTTTTTGAAGTGTCAACCAACGGTCAAACGGGCGAAAAGTTGACGATTTGGATATTAGATTGTTTTCGAAAAGATTTGACTATTATATTGCTTAAAATGAAAGGTTTGGATATTAAATTGTATTTACCCGAATGAAAATGTTGACTTCAATGAGAGATGGAGAATGAATGACTTCAAAATCACAGAACGATGGGACTTAAAGGGCAAATATTATTTGTCTTGTAGGCGGCAACATGGATAGCGGGATGGCGCATGTGTGTTCTCTTTTCGATTTTTCGTCGTCCTTTTCGTTCGAGATGTCAACAGTTTCAATTGAGTTATAATTTGCATGAGTTATTTATAAAACAAGTCATTTTTTTTAAATGTAGACATTTGAAAATTTAGTCATTTTCAGAATTTTAGAGTTTTTAGAGGAGTTGTTCTTAAAAGAGTCTTTTGTATAATGTTATCATTTTGGCTCTACATTTAATATATTTCATTACCTTATTTTCTATCATAATAAAACCAACCAACACGTAAACAATCTTATTTTGCAACCCACGAAACATATTATTACGAGCCATGTATAATAGTACTACTTTCTAATTTCAAATAATAATTTTATGATAAATTTCTTTATAAAGGATAGAGGCTCCAAAAGTCTCGAATTTATATTAATTACAAAAATTCATGCAAATGCCTATTAAATAGTGACGTTAGTGAATGAAAAAGATGCGTCATTGAATAGAATGACTCGGGAGAGAGAGACGTCGAGCTGGCTGCTCCTTTTTGCGGTACTGTACGTTGATGCGCATCTGACGGTGGAAAGTGACTCAGTTAACATTCTCTTCTCTTCTGGGTTGCTTCCCCGCCCTTATTTTTCTACCCATTTCTCACTTGAAGATGATAAGATTGACGTGGAAATAAATAATCAAACGTTAATAATCGGCCGCCACGAGTTATAAAAATACCGGCAACTCACTAACAAACAAACACGATTAGACAAAGGCATAATTCAGGTCATGCCTCGAAATGTGCAGGAATAACGGAAATGAACACAGCAAAACATGTTTAAAGATGGAACAAGTCATTTCCCGATGAGTAATAAACAGCCAGGCCCCGCGTGTAAACTCGTTCGTTGTCGCACGCAATAAATTATTGTATTTGATTCATTCATCATCGGAAACAAACACACATGATCAGTATTCTGGGAGGATTTATCCACTAATGCCAAGTGTGAAGCACTCGATTACGTTAATTACTGTTATTAACTGAACCCAAAGGACTTGGCGATGTCACAGAATCTTAATTGTCCAAAAGGGTTACCACAGAATTCTCTTATACAGTAGTTTGTTAGCACAAGTTGGAAAGTTTTGGGTCTGACAAGGTTCTTTGAGGTCCAAAACAGTTGCTCAAAGATTATACAAATTTATGTCCACGCCTTGAGACATGGTCGTTAATAATCTGCCGCCACGAGTTATAGAAATACCGGCAACTCACTAACAAACAAACACGATTAGACGAAGGCATAATTCAGGTCATGCCTCAAAATGTGCAGGAATTAACGGAAATGAACCCTAAGGACTTGGCGATGTCACAGAATCTTAATTGTCCAAAAGGGTTACCACAGAATTCTCTTAATACAGTAGTTTGTTAGCACAAGTTGGAAAGTTTTGGGTCTGACAAGGTTCTTTGAGGTCCAAAACAGTTGCTCGATAGAAGATTATACAAATTTATGTCCACGTCAACTATTTATAGACACATAAGTTTGAATGTGAATTCATGTACTATGTATAGTGTTTCGTATCATTGTGTTCTTGTTCAAGGGAATGACCTTCAGTTTCCCCCTTGATTATAAGATTAGAAGACACCATAAATCGTAAAATTTCCTAATGTGAGATTTATGAGACTAATGGCGAATATATGTTACTAATGAATAGAAATAAAAAATAATAGCAACTTTTCAAAGAGAGGACGAACATTTTGGAGGCGCAACTAACAATAGTCCGTAGTGTATGCAGTCGGACTGTCATTGAAATAGTATGTTTTGCCACTAGGTGAGTAGCTATGTTAAACCTCCAAAGAGCAACAACATGAAACTAACCCAAAAAACGAGAAGAGAGAGTGAACTTCCTCTAGAATAGCTTCTACTCTCAATATTTTTTTCCTAACCAAGATAAGCCCCCCAGGGCCAGGGCATGGTGACAAATTTACAAAACAAACAAAAATAAAGTACGATATTCGCTATGCAACTGAACTTCCGATGAAAGAGTTTGTTCTGCCACTAGCGGGACATCTTTGTGAAAGCTCCAAGGAGCAAAAAAGACACGAAGAGTAGGAAGAGAGAATGAACTTCCCTTTATGGCTCTGGCTAGGGAGGGCTTCCTCGACATAGGATCCTTGATGACCAGTTGAGAATCTCCGCAATATGTAACAATCAATACATTATGAGTCAGATTCTCATAGCATCATTAAAGGCAACTAATTTTGATATGCAAGCATCGGTAATACCATAATAGAATTTACAAAAAAAAGCAAATCAAATAGTTACATCACCTGAGAAGCCAACAGAGCTAGTTGTACATCCATGATGATTCTTTGATATGATTAAATAAACCATTTAATAGATAAATTCGAGACTTGCTTTCCGTCACAGGTTGAAGAGTTGCTCCACGATAACTGCATTAAGAGCATTCTCTTCTAGATTGGGAGACCGACGTGGATGTGATTCTTACCGTTCTTGTTGACATGATTTCACGACGAGCATTATTTCTTGATTTGCCTTTACAACACTAAGTTTTTCCTGCAAAGAGACCAACTAAAAAGACACCACTGTGGTCCTTGAAATATTTATCCGAGAGATTAAAGTTTGCTTTGAGACATAGTCGGAATCTCTGACAATAATTAAGTTATACAATATATGTAAAAAAAAAAGTGATAGGCAGTTATATTTGATTGACCAAGCAATTTCACTATTCCCCAAGTTCCCCGGCATTGACGAACTAGGGGCTGCTAATTAAATCCAAGTCACTCCAATCTCATACAAGGTCAGGAAAGGTACTTTTTTTTTATGGAGTTGCCATCTATAGATTTGCTATAGTCCAATGTGAAAAATACGATAAGACACCCGAAGTCCATCCTTCCCAGGATCTTATTAGGGGTTGATTTTGTGTACAATGTAGGATAAGAGAAGTACGTATGATTTATGAAGAAGGGAACAGCCTCAGAGTATGGGCAAGAACGTGTCTTCGTTATATACAGAAATAATGGGGCAAAAGGAGACAAACCCACTAGCTAGTGACTTCCTCCTATCTTATATATAGTCCACTTGGTTCCTTATATTGAATCACAGAAGAGTTATGGGGCAATCCGACCTAGGTTTATCAACCGGTATAATTGGGTTAAAAATGTTTTGGATATCACTGAAGTATAAGAGTCGATGTACTTAATTATATCACCTGTCTCGAGTCAGGGCATTGAATATGCATACA